GAAAATAAGTGGGATTACTATAGTAAATTTAAAGACAATATTTCTAAAATTAGATTACGGAGAATATATTCGAAAAATTTTGAAGATTACTGAGTATATAAAAAGGCGATCACGTCATTTTCTTAAATTATGTCTTACAGATAAAATCTCCGAAGAACAACAATAAACCTGTTAATATCTTGTCATCACTCATCAAACATGTAATATTTGTTTAAAATCAGATTAATTAAACTTTAAATCAGCAAATATTATCGAATAAGGCTTCAGAAATGTATATTTTATTTTGGGAATATTTTTTTAATAAAGTGAATTGCATTGCAATGAGAAACGACTACTAAAAAGGCGCTAATCAGCTATTTTATAAAGAAAAAAAAAAGAAAAGAAAAGGAAAATCGATTCCAATGAGTATAATTTCTTTTTGAAATACCCCAGTGTATTTTGCTAACTGGAAATAGTAAATGTAATTATTTAGTCTTCAATTAAAGCTAAAAAGAAAGCTTCAACGAAGCTTTTTATTTAAAAAAAGAATCATTTTAAACCTTAGGCATTAAGAATTAGTGAATCTACCTACTTTTTCTTATTTTTTCGCACTTGGTAATCCCTTATGTCTTAGGGGCTTTATTGCCTTGCATGGGATGATATGATTAAAAAAAAGAGACTCGAACACCACTCATGGTACCAGGGACAAAATTAGTGTCTCAGTATTCAAACAGCTAAAAAAAAAAAAATAAAACAAAACAAAAAACAACCAAAACACATTCTCAGTTAAAAAAATGTAGATAAATATCTTTTATTTAAAACAAAAAACGAACAAACTTTTTGACCATCCAATTGTATGACTCGAGACGTTTTTAGTGACCTCATGTAACTTTAGCCCACTTGTCTGCTGCCCGAATCTGACGAGAAACTAGGGGGAAAGGCGGGTGGTTTGTCTGTTTCACCGGTCCTCAGTAATTTACTAACGTCCGCACAAAATTCAGTACGTGTTTGGAAGGTGGAGGGTCTGTATGTGGGAGTGCACAATAAAACGATACTAACGCGGTCGATTGACCACTAGAAACCATTAGAATCCGGAAGAAACACGTCGAGTCAAGTGTAACTATTTAACGAAGGACTAGTTGGACGAATTGTCCATTTGTGAAAAGTGGACAGAGAAATGTGAAAATAACAAGACAATCAGGAGGTGACACTATTTAGACTTGACCCACCCTAGCCACACGAAGATTTTATTAAGATGGAGAGGGGGGGATTTCGATATGATAGGCTATATCCTAACGCGAAGTGGGGAATTGGGATTTTACAAATATATTACAATCCTAAAAACGATCGTCTCTTCAGTAAAATATTGATCTATTTTCTTTTTCTTTCTGGTATCATTAAAATTGATATGCTGTCATTAATTTTAAATGAAAACATTAATATATTTTCGATCTCATCCTTCTTGCATAGGGTTCTATTACAGTCAGATCGAAGGCAGCTGAATCATCCAACCGTTGCTACTGTTTATCGTCGCGTTGCTGAGACAGGATCCCTGGTCCCACAAACTATGGATCTAAGAAGACCGAGATCCGCTTGTATGTCTGACCACGAAGAACACATTCTACAGGCTGTCGGAGCTGACCCAGGTATCAGCACACGTCAATTGGCCCATAGTCATACATCTCATCGTACCACATAAAGGGTACTTCAAAAGCAGCTCTTGCATCCGTATCATTTGCAACGTGTGCAGGATCTTTTGCCCTCTGACCACTCACCACAGGAGAACTTTTGCCGATGGTTTATGGCACTAAATGCCAATCTGTTGTCTGTTTATTCAGTCTTGTTTACGAATGTGGCAACATTTGGAAGAGATGAAATAACAAATTTACACACCCAATATTTGTAGGCGGATCGGATTCTTCATAGGACAATACAGACTAGACGCCAGTATCAGTTTACATTTAATATGTTGGCTGGAATTGTAGGTGACTATCTGGTAGGTCCATATGTTCTCCCAGCACATCTTATAGGAGCTGTCTATAGGGACTTTATTTCGAACACACTTCCAGACCTGCTAGAGGATGTACCCCTGCTAATACGAAGACGCATGTGGTTCATGCATGATAGAGTTCTAGCACATTTCAGTTACATTGTCCATGATGTACTGGCTGACATCTACGATGAAAGATGGATAGGTAGTGGTTCCATGTCTTGCACGTTCCTCCGACCTCAACCCATTGGATTTTTTTATCTGTGGGAATACCTAAAACAACTGGTTTATGTAGAGACATTAATAATGCAGAGAAGCTTCATCAACATGTCAGGGGACGGGAGGCTGCTAAAGCATTCGACACCGTGCGGGATTATTTGAAAAGGTCCGCCAGTCAATGATCTGACGGGTGCATGCGTGTGTAAAAGCAAGCGGTGGACATTTTGATCATTTGTCATGAGTTGCTATGTTGGGGAACAACGATGGCCTTTTGGACATATTTTTTTTTGCTTTGTTTTGGTGTCGGGAAGTCAACCACAAATTTTGTACAAGGAACATTGCGCAGTAAGGTATCCATAATATAAAACATTTTAGAAGGATATGTGACGTATAATGGAGGCGAAATTGATAGTATTTATTGAATCAAATATATATATATATATATATATATATATATATATATTACAATGAATCATTCATACAAAAAGTAAATTAGTAAAGTTAAAGAGATAAAATGGCGAATTCACTTCGCTAACTAAATTTTAAAGGTGCATTAACCCACTAATCACTCGATGAATGTTATGATACTTGTTTTTTAAAATTATAAACTGTATTAGGTCTTTCTTAAATACGCAAGTACTTTCGACGGTTTGTTCGGTCATCATCAGACGTGGAAACTATTTTGTTTTTGGTAAAATTCAAGTAGCGTCCGAGACGAAAAAATATAATGCAAATCGAAATATGTTTTTTGACGTGTGTTACTGATAACAGATAAAAACTTTATATATATTTCTTCATATATATATATATATATATATATATATATATATATTCTTCATATATTTATATGTTTCTTCATATATATACTTATATATATATGAAGAATATATTTCTTCATATATACATAGATATATATATGAAGAAATATAGTCTTAAGGTGATCTATATTTATGGGAATAAAGTGCTCAATATCAGAGATAGAGTAGGTAAATATAAAGTGAATATTGAAGTCAACACTCAGGGCGGCAGATTGTTTCGTGGTAAACACAATCATCATCAGGCCTGACAATTGCGTTTAGCATAAAACAATCTTTCGCCTCTAAGTATTGACTTCAATGTTCACTTTTATATATATATATATATATATATATATATATATATATATATATATATATATATATATATATATATATATAGATGGGTGATGGTCTGAAGATTGCGTTCAAGCATCAAATAGTTTGTCCTTGCTCGGTTAACCTAAGTACGCACATTTATATTTTTTATATTAACATCCGGCCTATCACTGATGCTGAGCAGTTTTACCTATAAATATAGCATATCTTAACATTATATTGATAGATTGATAGAAAATTCATCAATATATACGCACCCCAAAAACTTAAATTCGGTTGGAAGATGAGTGCGAATCAGTATACAATGACTATTACTACTAATATTACAAGGCATTTCCCCTTCTCAGAATTGAAGTCTCTCAGTCATTGGCGTGTTTGTTCAAAGAATAAGTACGTAAAGTTTGCATGACGGCGTACCATGCAAAAGAACGAAATATTAACACGAGAACTATATATATATATATATATATATATATAAACTCTTATCACCTGTCCAAGAAAGACATTTGAATCACTACCACGCAAAAAAATTCATTTTTATAATGTGGAAATATCTACTCTTTTGCTTGACGAAGGTGGCGAAACCAGAATATATATATATATATATATATATATATATATATATATATATATATATACAATGAATCATTCATACAAAAAGAAAATTAGTAAAGTTAAAGAGATAAAATGGAGAATTCACTTCGCTAACTAAATTTTAAAGGTGCATTCACCCACACTTATAGCAAAATTATGGAAACACTTATACCAAAATTATAAAAACTGAAGTACAATATATGTTTTAAAATAAAAATCCACATTTTAACCAAAAAGGTTTGCGGTTTATCTTCTTTAAAAAAACACACACGCACACATACACACACAAACACACACAGACACACAAATATATATGTATATACTTCAGAAAAAACTTATATATATATATCAGTAAAAACTGAAAGTGTAAGAAAAGTCTGTACAAAAACTTGCAGTACAGAGACTATAATAATAAGATTTAGAAAAAACACCCAATGTTTTTATATAGTTATATGTAATATTTATGATAGATGTATATTTACAGAGAATTAAATAGTTTTACTTACATATGGGTTTTCAGAATGTTCACAATTTTGTTATTATTCGCTCTCTCTTTTCTCTCTCTCTTTCTCTCCCTGTCACTATCTATCTATCTATCTATCTATCTATCTATCTATCTATCTATTTAACTACCTAGCTATCGGTCATATCTCATCTTTTAAATCAAATCTAGTATTTTTTATTTGAAGGCAACCAGCATATTTCCCCTCGAAAACATATTAATCCCTTGAGTCTTATATATATATATATATATATATATATATATATATATATAAATATATATATACTTTTTCTCATTTTTATTAATGTTATTTTATAACGTTATAACACACTACACACGTATATATATATATATATATATATATATATATATATATATATATATATATGTGTGTGAAGAAGACACACAGAGAGAGAGAGAGAGAGAGAGAGAGAAGAAAGTTTGGCTTCTGGAAATTTCTAATGTACGAATATGAAACAGACTAACAAGAAGAAAACGAACAAGAACAAATAATATAGATGAAATGATGGAATTTCCGTGGCTAAAATCTCATTTCCTTTTGCAACTTTCTCATTCGTCTCAAATGAAAGATAAATCGTCTCTTAGTAAATATGATTCAAACCGCCAATGTAACGTTTTTCTTCCCGGGAATTCTGTTCTGTCTAATACGAACACGTCACCTTCTCTTCATTCATTTATAGCCGCTCTCTCACTCTTTTTTTTTTTTTACCGGTTTGTCATCTCAAAAATCGTCGACAATCCTTGCATTACTTCTAGCATGCAGTCAATTCATTAGCCGACGCTCTCTCTGATTCTTTTCACTTCGTCTGAGTTTGGCGAATGGGCTAAAAAGAACATGGCTGACATTTTCTTCGGCGGCCATTTGATTGAAAACATTTGGCATGCTTGTTATGTTTTTTTTTTTGTTTTTTTTTTTTTAACTCAGACGCAGAAAAAGCCAAAGAGTCTGCTAATATATTATAGGTCAAAAGTTTGGGGCCACCCTCTAGTATCGGAGAATTGCCTAAAAATTAAAGTTTTCATGTGTTTTTCAAAACAAATTTACTAATTTCAGGCCAGGGCGTTTCACTTACTGAACAGTTTTATCATATATTCAATCATCAAACTATATAAAAATGATCAATGTGTTTTTATTTATATATTTCTTGTCTCATCTGAAATATGAAAGGAGTTTAATCAATTTATGAGTGATTAATTCTCTTAGTCTTTTTAATAATCTGTACAAATAAAATATTTATCTGCATTTAGACAAAATTATGAACCTTTTGATTAACCAGTTCCTTTACTCTCATGTTTCTTTAGATTGCAGTCTTATTTGTTCAAGCCTTTCATGTGAGGCAATCGGATACCTATGTCTATTAACTGATCTTATTCATGCAAATTGGTTTTGAAGTCGGATATTTCGTTGCTGTTTTTGTCATTCTATTAATGTTTTTCTTCCGAAAGACATTTCTATTTCATTGTTACATTAAAGGTATAAACATTGCGACAGGAAAAGATAGTCAGCAAAAAGCGATTTAACGTCTGTCTATATTTCTGGGAAGAGGTGTTATAACTATTGACACGTTTTACATTGTCCGGATTGTTGTCCTCATGTTTACTGTCATATTCACGACGTTTCAGCCATTGTATGCTCTGATCTTCTTCAGGTGATATACGTTGGAATTTCCAACCGAACCCTTTATTTACATTCGTGAATATGACAATAAAGTTGAGGACAACAGTCCGAACAATGTAAATTGTGTAAAAAGCGATTTCTATAATACCAGGAGTAATCAATGAATCCTAGATAAAATTGAAGCTCTAAAATATACAAAGGGAAAAATTAATTCTATTTTAGTTGTGAATTCTTTATCTCCGATTTATTGAATGTCAATATATTGTTGCACGATGTCAGGACGATTGGCTTTGATTGTTCTGTGTGTATTGTAAAATTCCATAAAACTGTGAGAGGCCCTATCTCCGTAACTGGGTCAGGATGGTGTTCATACAAATTTTATACAGTTTCCTTTCCGTAAGTGTTGCTGATTTTCCAGTGCAGATATTGGTCCACTCTTTCATGGCGGGTTTTATATTCAGTCAGCAACTGTTACAGAGTTTTATTTCTTTTTCATTAAGTTGTTTTATTAAATACATATAAAACACCAGATTGCTGTATTTTTTCTCTGTCGCCAAACCGCGGTTTTGTCGCTGCCTAAAAAGAACGCTAAACCCCGTGGATCTGTCACTGCCTAACAAGTGAAGACTGCCAAATCCCGTGGTTCTGTCGCTGCCTAACATGTTAAGACGAATAAATTCCGGGTTTCTGTCACTGCATAACAAATTAAGACCGCTAAACGCCGCGGTTCTGTCGCTGCCTAACAAGTTAAGACCGCTAAACCACGCTGTTCTGTCGCTGCCTAACAAGTTAAGGATGTTAAACACCACGGTGCTGTCGCTGCCTAACAAATTAAGAACGCTAAACACCGCGTTTATGTCACTGCCTAACAAGTGAAAACCGCTAAACCCCGTGGTTCGGTCTCTGCCTAACAAATTAAGAACGTTAAACCCCGCGGTTCTGTCGGTGCCTAACAATTTAAGACCGCTAAACCCCGTGCTTCTGTCACTGTCTAACAAGTGAAGACCGCTAAACCACGGTGTTCTGTCGCTGCTTAACAAGTTAAGACCGCTAAACAACGGGGTTCTTTCGCCGCGTAACAAGTTAAGACCGCTAAAGCACGTCGTTCTGTCTGTGCCTAACAAGTTAGATCGCTAAACCACGCGGTTCTGTCGCAGCCTAAGAAGTTAAGACCCCTAAACCCCGCGATTCTATGACTGCCTAAAAAGTTCAGACCGCTAAAGCACGTGGTTCTGTCACTGTCTAACAAATTAAGACCGCTAAACCCCGCGGATTTGTCGCTGCCTAACAAGTTAAGACCGCTAAAAACAGCGGTTCAGTCACTGCCTAATAAGTTAAGACGGCTAAACACCGTGGTTCTGTCGCTGCCTAACAAGTTAACACCGTTAAATCTCGTTGTTCTGTCAGTGCCTAACAAATTAAGAACGCTAAACCCCGTGGTTCTGTCACTGCCTAACAAATTAGGAACGCTAAACCCTGCGGTTTTGTCGCTGCCAGACAAGTTAAGACCGCTAAACCACGCGGTTCTGTCGCTGCCTAACAAGTTAAGACCGCTTAAGCCCGCGGTTCTGTCGCTGCCTAACAAGTTAAGAACTCTAAACCTCAGGGTTCTGTCACTGCCTAACAAGTTAAGACCGCTAAACCCCGCGTTTCTGTCGCTGCCTAAGAAGTTAAGACCGCTAAACCACGCGTTCTGTCACTGCATGACAATAAGGACCGCTAAACCGAGCGGTTCTGTCGTTGCCTAACAAGTTAGACCACTAAACCACGCGGCTCTGTCGCTGCTTCACAAGTTAAGACCGCTAAACCCTGCGGTTCTGTCGCCGCGTAACAAGTTGATACCGCTAATCCCCGTGGTTCTGTCACTGCCTAACACGTTTGACCGCTAAACACCGCGGTTCTGTAGCTGCCTATCAAGTTAAGACCGCTAAAGCCCGCGGTTCTGTCGCTGCCTAATAAATTAAGAACGTTAAACACCGTGGTTCTGTCGCTGCCTAACAAGTTAACACCGCTAAACTCCGTGGTTTTGTCACTGCCTAACAAGTTAGATCGCGAAACCACGCGGTTCTGTCGCAGGCTAACAACTTAAGTCGGCTAAACCCCGGGGTTCTGTCACTGCCTAACAAGTTAAGACAGCTAAACCACGCAGTTCTGTCGCTGCCTAATAAATTAAGAACGCTAAACCCCGTGGTTCTGTCGCTGCCTAACAAGTTAAGACCGCTAAAACTCAGGGTTCTCTCGCTGCCTAACAAGTTAAGACTGCTAAACCCCGTGTTTCTGTCGCTGCTTAACAAGTTGAGACCGCTAAACCCCGTGGTTCTGTCACTGCCTAACACGTTTGACCGCTGAACCCCGGGGTTCTGTCGCTGCCTAACAAGTTAAGACCGCTAAACCCCGCGGTTCTGTCGCTGCCTAACAAGTTAAGACCGCTAAACCCCAGGGTTCTGTCTTTGCCTTGATCTAAGAAAATGGTTGGATATATCTATATTTTAGAGAGGCTTTTGAATGTGTTAGACGCCGGGCATTGCGTTTCTAAATGTTTACTTAATAACTATTGCTATGGCTATAAGCAAAAAGCAAGAACATTAGAATCAAGAAGGAAAACGCTATACAAAATTGAATCAGATGGACAACGAAGATACACAAAGGAATAGAACTGCTTAGAGGAGAATTATCAATCAATATTGAAAGGCGCATGAATGGAAATAAAGTTGTAAAGTCATACCAAAATAGAAAAATTATCAGAGCGAAACGATATTCTAAGTGGCAAAGAAGTTATCAAACAAATTTGTTATATATGAATAAAATGTGGTTGCCGACATTTGAGTTTGAACATAGATCGCCAGTGAGCAAACACAGGCGATACCATTATTGAATTAAGTAGACCACGTGACCATAGAAGAAACGCCTAAGTAGGAATTAGCTTTGTGTCTAATTGTTCAGTATTTCTAGTCTATCCTCTATACTATTCGAATCGCTATTTCTATTCTATCCTCTATTATTATTCGAACTTCTATTCTCTACTCTATTCCCTATAGTATTTCTGTATTCGGATAACTAGACGGATTACTATTCGGTGGTTAATATTCGAGCGAGTATTATCGAGCAAGTACTATTAATGCGAGTGTTATTCGAAGATGTCTGATACCAGTATTGTTCAACGGCGTTACTATCGTTATATCTGCGATTAAAAAGTCTCTACTACAACAAGCATTACAAAAGTGACAACAAGTATTTGTTGGCATCACAAAAGTGGCAACCAGTGTTCGTTGAGTCACAAAAAACGATACAAGCCAGAGTATAAAGACGAGGTAAATATGAGAAAAGAAACACATTTTACAGGTAGAACAACATTTAAAAAAATGCTAACAATTTCTGGAAGAATATGCAATTAGAGTGTAACAGTTGTAGTGTTTTAATAAACATTGTATCAGCAGCAGCCCTGAAGGTATAAGAACAAGCGAATCCTTAAGTAACTCTCTCTTCCTGTTTTTCCTTCTTTCGAAGTGTGATCTATCGAATTTTCGCATCAAATCAAAATAGGTCTGTGGACGCTTCACATACAAACTCACCTACACAGGTAAGTCACAATTAAATACATTCATTAGCAATTTTCATTGTGTATTTCATTTATTTCTAGGCAAAGAAACTTAAACTTTCCTTTTGTTATTTTGTTAAATAAATGTTATCTTGTTTTGCAAATCAATTGGTATCTGTTATTTTGTGCATCTACTTTTTCACCACCATTAATTCATGTCAAATATTCTCGTACAAACCTTACATTAATTATAGAAGTAATGAACACACTAAGGGGTTATTGACTCTGAGTCGGTGAGCTGAGATGAAATACCAGCTTTGAAAAGATATGTGTCCAACACTTTCTCCCAGCTTTAGGTTAAATATTAGAGTAGACTGGATTCTTTAGCTTTGGCTAGCAGCCAGTCTAAAAGGAAAAAAAATCTGGATTTAAAATTCCGAAGAAGGATGAGCTCCGTCTGATTACCTTACCTTAGACACATTAGTACTGCTCTTACAATTTTAATGGATTACAGTATTCGCGACGTGATTTATCTATCAGTAACATATAAGATCGATTTTCATCGAATGAATTTACGCTTCCCTTAAATAGAAAAATATCCCCCTTTCAGCAAAAAGGGTAAAAGAAAGAATTCATCTGTCTGCGAGCCCAGCCTATCATAAATAGAATGCCTTTAAAAACATGCAGGACAAAACAGATGAAGCATAGCAATAAAATGAATAGAAGACAGGCTAAATTTTTTGCCCCATAGTCATTTTAAAATAACTATAATATATCACCTATAATTAAGAGAGATTTCTCCAACAAAACATATCATGTTTTCTTGTAATAGTGCAAATGTATCCGGAAAAATTAAAAATGGACTGAAAATACTTTCAAAGTGATTCTTCATCTGCTGTCTTGTCCTGGTTATCTTTTTCAAACAAACTTAAGAACACGACTTTTGGTTAAAAGCTCAGCGATAAAACTGTCGGGATAAAAAGGGGCGATTATCTCACTTTGGGAAAAATGAATTCACGAGGATCATATGACAGCCGGTGAGTGACGTCAGTTCATAGAGAGACGAACGCCAATTACTCTTTAGCACGTCAGTTGCTCTGTAGACAGCAGAGAAGCAAGACATGACTGTCCACAGCAGTTAAGAGAGCAGAGGAATCCACATGGTCCCACACGGTATTTTGGCTTTTTGTCTCGTGAAAACATTTGTTTTTTTATTGTTCGCTCTCTTTCAAAATTATTTTCTTTTTCTCATATTCTCTCAAACCGTAGCGTCTTAGTGGCTCTATTGCCTTGCTTGGAGTGAAATGATTAAAGATATATATAACATATGTAATACCTAGGTTTTTATTACTTACTTTACATGGTTACTAGCCTTCGGTACCGACGCGAGAACCGGTTAGTCACTTTAAGAAAAAGAAATCTAATAATAATAATAATAAAATGATCTGTCTTTGAGAATTGGAAACGTGAATAGAAACTGTGCCAATAATCTGCAACTGGTCTGGCAAAAAAAAGAGCAGTAAAAGAAAAATATCGCCCGTCCCCAGAGGCAAGCACGAAGCCGTCGAGAGGAGAACATAACCAGATTTTCGTTTCTACTTCACCGGATGCAATTCATTATCGGCCAATATTTTGGATTTCTTTATTTTTTAAACAAGAATGAATGAATGAATGAATCTATGAATCTAGCTATCTATCTATCTGTTTAGATCTGTTCATTATCTCTCTCTCTCTCTCTCTCTCTATCTATCTATCTATCTATCTATCTATCTATATATATATATATATATATATATTAATCCCATCCTGTTCATATTTATCAATCTATCCCATTCTGTTCATATCATCTATCTATCTATCTATCTATCTATCTATCTATCTATCTATCTATCTATCTATCTGTTTTGGTCTGTTCATTATCTCTCTCTCTCTCTCTTTCTCTCTCTCCCCCTCTCTGTTTGTCTGTCTGTCTCTCTCTTCTTTATATATATATATATATACATATATATTTATATATTAATCCTATTCTGTTCATATTTATCAATGTATCCCATACTGTTCATATCTATTCATCTATCTATCTATCTATCTATCTATCTATCTATCTTCATCTATCTATCTGTTTTGGCCTGTTCATTATCTCTCTCCTTTTTCTCTCTCTATCTTTCTCTTTCCATATATATATATATATATATATATATATATATATATATATATCAATCCCATTCTGTTCATATTTATCAATCTATCCCATTCTGTTCATATCTATCTATCTATCTATCTATCTATCTATCTATCTATCTATCTATCTATCACTTTTCTCTGTCACTCACACACCGGTGAGCCATGTAAATGAGAACTAATTATAATAAATAAATCATTGAAAAAAATCGTCTTTCACTCAGAAAAAAAAAAACAAACAAAAAAAAAAAACAGAAGAAAAAACTTATAAATAACATCGCACCTTCCGTGTCCAGAAGAAATTGAATGTAGCCTGAGAAGAAACCTACATACGAGGATCAAGTGGATCCCGTTCATTATGTCCACGGGATTCTCGCAGGGGGGGGGGTCATATTAAACTAATGCTGTGTGCCGTAGCATATCGACATATCAAATTCTGTGACTTCCGTTAGTCCGTCCATCACACCCTCTAAAATAGTCATACATTGGCTGATTGAAACCAAATTTTGAGAGATGTGCAAACAGGTAAGTGGCGGGGTACAAAGTGTAGTTGAATTTACTAGGGTGCGTACAATAAATTTTCATTAATTTCTTTGGAAAAATTAGTTTTATCATTTAGCATACAAAATACTTCCGCTTTTTTTAAAAAACAATTTAATGATTAAAGTAACAAATACTTATTTAATAAAAATGCAATATTTTCTTTAAGTTTTTATATATGCAAGAATCCAATTTCCAGTCTGCTCTGCATTTGCGAGAACTATAAACAAATCACGAGGCCAAACGCTTCAAAAAGTTGGAATTTAACTCCACAAAGAAATATTTACACATGTTGCATGCTCAAGAGTAAGAAATATTAAGAATTTATTCTTCGCTGTTAAAAAGTAAAAAAAGAAATTTTCTTAAAATAAAATTGTTTACCATGAAGGTCTATAAAGTTAAATTAAATTAAAGAAATTATTAAACCGCGAAGTAGGGTTTTTTATCAAAGTATTTTTCCAAACAAATCAGCTTATTCAAATTTCATCGATTGGTTTGCGAAATGGAACAAAACGTAGAGTTTGTACGTCTCGACAAAAATGGTGGCAAGAACTTCAACAATACCAAGTAGAGAATTTATTTGAAACACACGTCAGCATTGTAATATTAAAAAGCAAAAAGCAATGTTATTAAAAAGCAAAATAAATGCAATGTTATTAAAAGCAAAATAAAGCAATGTTATTAAAAAGCAAAATAAATTCCAATGTTATTAAAAGGCCATAAATTAAAAAAAAAAATACACATAGATATTAAATCATAACTTCTTTACGAGCCATGATCGAACTTATAAAACAAGTAAATATTGAAGTTCTATTAACATAATAAAGAAAGACAGAAAAACTGACATAAATTATTCTGACGAGATATTTGAGCAGATTTAAAGAGGATGTTTTAATGTTACCTAGAGTAATGAATAATTAAACACGCAGACCCCACGAAACAAACATTAACAAGTGTTGTTTTCGCCAGAGGAGTATTTAATGCGGAACCCTGGACAAATGTGGAGTTCGTAGCATTTGCTACTTTTCCATTTAGGTGAATCCAACACTTTTCGAGGTGATTGTCATTGTTCAGCAAGCGTTTCGACCTCTCTTCATAGAGTCCTCCCCCACCCCCCAGGTCTTGTCAAACGTTTATTGCCGTTTCTTCATTTAAGAAGATTTGTACCTGATATCCTCATGCGAGCGATACACAAACGACCGCCCTGGAGATGTTAGACAATAGTCGGCCACAACTTCCCGGGATCGTGCTTACCGTTCTTACGTCATTTGATGGCTTAAAATGTTTCTTGGCCAACGCCGTCTTTTTGAACCCACAATCGTCTACCAAGTAGATTAAATAAAGGTCTCAGTTCAATCCCTGGACAGGGCAGTGTGTATATGTATTTAGTGGAAAGGAGCCGAATAATAACTGAACAGTACTAAAAATAAGAACTAAACGAGATATTCCTAGACAAGGGCATTGGAACAAGAACAGTCTACACCTGTAAACTAAATCAAATGTTCAGTTCAGAATTCCCTCTTGGTTAACCAGAACAATATATACCTGAGGAAAGCCAGAGAGCATAACGGCCTAAACGCTGTTATAACAACAACAAAGATTGGGACAATAGTCCCATATATATATATATATATATATATATATATATATATATATATAGAGAGAGAGAGAGAGAGAGAGAGAGAGAGAGGAGAGAGAGAGAGGCAACTGACGTTAATTTACGTCGAGATAAGTCTCGACGTCTGTCGAACTTTCTGCTTTGGCAGAAAGGAACACGGACGAAGCTTTGCCGAAGGGCAAGGTTTCGTCCGGGGAGGTAGACAGGCCCTGAAACGTCTAGGCGGGTTCAAAGGGCATATTTTTGGCCGAGCCCACGGGCTCGGAGATCCCACGTTAAACCGACCTTGTGCCACATAATGCCCTCGTGTGTGTGTGTGTGGGGGGGGGTGACTAAATACTGTTCAGTCTGAAGTCTGGAGTGAAGTCCGTCAGAAGTCTGTCAGTCAGTCAAAGCGAGCGAGTCAGTCAGTCGAGTCGGAGGCAGACCGAAACAGAGTCGCGTTCAGACAATTACTACTAAACCTGATTGTTCGTACTAACACTTTCTACTTCTCCGTATGTATTCCTGTTTGTAATATATCTGTGTTATTCCATATACGTGTTCGAGTTCTTCTTTATTGATTCTACCTTGGACTATCACCGTGGTACAAGGAACCGGACCATAACAGATAGATAGATAGATAGAATGTGAGAGTGTATGCATGAGAAAGAGAAAAAGATAGAAAGATCGAGAGAGGAAAAGCGTAATGGAGGGAAAAACTGAGAAATGTTGAGTTAATAGGTAAATTAAACCGAGCTATTCGCATATCGATCACTCGTTACTTTCAAGTGGGTCATTTTCTTCTGGTTACGGGGTGAATAGACATGTTTAGAATAACCACGCCCTTTTTATTACCAATCGACTAGCCACCTCACTATATCACTGCATATATAACGTTCACGTTCGTCAGTCTCCTTTGTCGGTTCGATAAGTGAACACATATTGGAACTAAACCGAAATTATTTCCTTTCAGTATTGAAGAAGCTTAACTAGGTACCTCACAAGGCTCTCTATATGTGTCCAACAAACGAGAAAAGAACACCATACAGTTTTAGAATATCCATTTTCTTATTTATTGATAGATTTATTCGATATTTCCTTGTTTTCAATCAAAAAAAAATATCCTGGGTATGACGATAAACTACATCCGGCAGCAAGGTTTCTGATCGAGAGGTTTTGAGGAGCGTGGAACCAACTTTTAATTTGCTGTTGCTTAATTCCACTCTGACCCGGGGTAGTAGCACCTGTTAGGGTCCCAGCTATAGGCAAATAGTTAACCCACAAAACTGGGGTCGGAACACTGTGAAAGAATAAAAATAAATTTTTATAGTAAAAAAAAAAAATTCCCAACAATACATCTGACTCTCGACAAAAACCCTCTTTACAAAAATGTGCCAATGAAACCTGATCTATAAACTGATTTCTTACAAAGAATACATATCCTGTTCATACTAGTCTATCCTAAAAACGTTGTCGGTATTAAATAACCCATTGAAGTGTTGATTTGCCGTAAAGCAAAATAAACCAAACAAATCTAAACCAAAGAATGCATATTCTATTCATACGAATCTATCCTAAAAATGTTGTCGGTATTAAATAACCCACTGAAGTATTGATATGCCGTAAAACAAAATAAACCAATGAAAACGCTCTTGACACCGATGACTTGAAGAATGTGCTTTTCACTCTGGTGAAATTTAAATGACAATCCCTTTCTTCCTCATTTTCAATGCATTCCTATAGTAAAATCTTTAGCAATGCATTTACATTATACATATAATAGCCCTATTCTATCAGTAATGTTGGCTTCATTCCTGACCACTGACAATCCCTTTCTTCCTGATTTTCAATGCATTTCTATAGTAAAATCATTAGCAATGTATTTCCATTATACATATAATAGCCCTATTCTATCAGTAATGCTTGGCTTCATTCCTGACCACTGACAATCCCTTTCTTCCTGATTTTCAACGCATTCCTATAGTAAAATCATTAGCAATGCATTTACATTATACATATAATAGCCCTATTCTATCAGTAATGCTTGGCTTCATTCCTGACCACTGACAATCCCTTTCTTCCTGATTTCCAACGCATTCCTATAGTAAAATCATTAGCAATGCATTTACATTATACATATAATAGCCCTATTCTATCAGTACGCTTGCCTTCATTCCTGACCACCGACAATCCCTTTCTTCCTGATTTTCAACGCATTCTTATAGTAAAATCATTAGCAATGCATTTACATTATACATATAATAGCCCTATTCTATCAGTAATTCTTGCCTTCATTCCTGACCACTGACAATCCCTTTCTTCCTGATTTTCAATGCATTCCTATAGTAAAATCATTATCAATGCATTTACATTATACATATAATAGCCCTATTCTATCAGTAATGTTGGCTTCATTCCTGACCACTGACAATCCCTTTCTTCCTGATTTTCAATGCATTTCTATAGTAAAATCATTAGCAATGTATTTCCATTATACATATAATAGCCCTATTCTATCAGTAATGCTTGGCTTCATTCCTGACCACTGACAATCACTTTCTTCCTGATTTTCAATGCATTCCTATAGTAAAATCAATAGCAATGCATTTACATTATACATATAATAGCCCTATTCTATCAGTAATGCTTGGCTTCATAACTGACCACTGACAATCCCTTTCTTCCTGATTTTCAACGCATTCCTATAGTAAAATCATTAGCAATGCATTTACATTATACATATAATAGCCCTATTCTATCAGTAATGCTTGGCTTCATTCCTGACCACTGACAATCCCTTTCTTCCTGATTTTCAACGCATTCCTATAGTAAAATCATTAGCAATGCATTTACATTATACATATAATAACCCTATTCTATCAGTAATGCTTGCCTTCATTCCTGACCACTGACAATCCCTTTCTTCCTGATTTTCAACGCATTCCTATAGTAAAATCTTTAGCAATGCATTTACATTACACATATAATAGCCCTATTCTATCAGTAATGCTTGGCTACATTCCTGACCACTGTCAATCCCTTTCTTCCTGATTTTCAACGCATTCCTATAATAAAATCATTAGCAATGCATTTACATTATACATATAATAACCTTATTCTCTCAGTAATGCTTGCCTTCATTCCTGACCACTGACAATCCCTTTCTTCCTGATTTTCAACGCATTCCTATAGTAAAATCATTAGCAATGCATTTACATTATACATATAATAGCCCTATTCTATCAGTAATGCTGCCTTCATTCCTGACCACTGACAATCCCTTTCTTCCTGATTTTCAACGCATTCCTATAGTAAAATCATTAGCAATGCATTTACATTATACATATAATAACACTATTCTATCAGTAATGCTTGCCTTCACTCCTGACCACTGACAATCCCTTTCTTCCTCATTTTCAATGCATTCCTATAGTAAAATCATTAGCAATGCATTTACATTATACATACAATAGCCCTATTCAATCAGTAATGCTTGCCTTCATTCCTGACCACTGACAATCCCTTTTTTCCTGATTTTCAATGCATTCCTATAGTAAAATCATTAGCAATGCATTTACATTATACATATAATAGCCCTATTCTATCAGTAATGCTTGGCTTCATTCCTGACCACTGACAATCCCTTTCTTCCTTATTTTTAACGTACAACTTAGAGTATTCATATCAAAGCTTGTTGAGATGAAAGATGAGAAAATGGAATTTGATGATAAGATATAAGAGAATACAGAAGAGACAATGGCATCATGAATGGTAAAAAGCTTTTTTTTTTGCTGTAGTGGCGCCATGACTTTGATTAACTTCCGTTCTTGCATTTCCACGCGGCACTCGTTTACTTGTGGCAAAAAGTACTCAAGGCTTCCCAGATATCACCAGACTCAGTAAACGTTTTGCGTTATCTATCTATCTATCTATCTATCTATCTATCTATCTATCTATCTCAGTCTGTTCATATCTATCTATCTATCTATCTATCTCTCTCTCTCTCTCTCTCTCTCTCTCTCTCTCTCTCTCTCTCTCTATCTATCTATCTATCTATCTCAGTCTTGCTTGGGTGAAATGATTTAAAAATAATCTATCTATCCATGAGAGAATATAATATATTAATTTCCATATATCAGAACCATGTTAGTCAAATGAATGACAAAATTGAAAACAAATTCGTGGAGTTCATCGGACGAAAGTAATATTTTTGTTGATGGAATTATATATATGCAATAAGGGGAGGGGATATATACCAACACAAGTATTAGTTCTAATTATGCACCGGCAGGAAACATTGAAGATATTGGAACGCTCAAATTTTAAACTATTAATTTTATTTTCTTCGATGTGTCTGGACGTGTAGCTCAGCCAATTTCATCCAGTTTCCTTACGTTTTCATTTTTATCAATTTTAAAACAAAAACAACGCGAATTTGCGCAGCGAAAACAAAAAAACAAAAAAAAAAAACATTTTTTTTTCGCTGCGCAAATTTGTCTTGTTTTGATTTTGATCTTCCCTCATGCCATTAATCATTTCAATATATATATATATATATATATATATATATATATAAAACACTCCAAACAGAGCGATAATGCCACTAAGACACATGGGCCTACTGGCAGTGAAAGAAGTGAAAGAGAATGAAAAAAAAAAAAGGAATAAACAGGCAGAAGATGGCTATTTGCGTCGCATTAAAATCTTTGTAGATTGTGGGTGGGACGGAAGCAGGAAACCGGAAGTGAGTTCTACAGGTCAGAAGTGCGAGAAAACAAGCCATTAGAATAGAACTTACGGTTACATCTCCATATTTCAACGGTAAAAAGATGAGACCTAGTTGCCAATATAGCAGCACGCTCAAATTCATGCAATCGAGCCTTCAAGAAGGAAAAGTCATCAGAACAATTCCCATGAAAATATTTCTAAAAAAGACACAGGGAAGCTACGTCACGGAAGTGGGAAAGTGACTAAAGTCGAGATGCCAGGTCAAGACCGATAACATAACAGACATTTCTTTGAATTTTTTCAAGAATCCCGTGATATATAGCAGAAGAACCAGATCAGATATGGCAGAAATATTCAATTCACAGGCGAATGATAGATTTTTAAATGTGCAAGATTGGTTCTATCGAGAAAAATTGTCTGGCACGACACAAGGAACCTACCTTCCTAACCGTAGATCTATCAATTGATTCAATATAATCACTCCACTTAATGTCAGCGGAAAACGTGAGCCCAAGAAGGCACAAAGAGTTTTATTGGGAGTTTCCCCGGTCGCATGTATGTTTGTGCTCAGCAGTGTAAGTGAAATATACAAAAAAAAAACAAAAAAAGAAAACCAAAAAATCCCCCCCAAATAACCCCCCAAATGAAACAAAAGCTTGAAAATAACTGTTCAACAGATTTTATTTGGTTGAAAGAGAGGTGCAAAACAGTAGTAATTTACGAGGGAACAATGTTCTTGAGTGTATTAATTCTTTTTAGAACGAGGAACAAGAAATCCAGGTGTGGAACTTCTAGAACAGGCCTCATCTTTTGCAGCAAATGGGTGAGTGTATTTTCTTTGGTGGGTGCTTCGGAGGAAGATTTCTGCGTCGGTTCCTGCGGGAGGAACGAGAAATCTAATCTCAAGCTGCCAAGAGAGAACTCGTCTTCTGCAGCAAGGGTTGCGTGTATCCCTCCATTAGGAGTCTCGAAGGACCGCTGAAAATGAGAAATAGAAAAGAGAATTAGTCGAGATAGAGGCGAATGAAAAGGAAGGTACAAAATAGAGAGAGCTGGCCGTGGATGCAGACGCATCCGAAATTGAATGAAAAAGACGCCGGGTCTTTTATAGTGTCAGGGACATTCGATTGTTATTTCCGAGGCTGTTGTTGCTGAATCAAGCAAAGTATTAACCCCCACATGCAACAAAATCCAACAAGTGAAATAATTTTTATAGTTACTTTCATGGAGGTTAGCATCAGCCATGCTGGTAGAAGGCAAAAAAATCTCTATGGTGATAGCAGTTATATTCAAAACTTGATCAATTCTTTTTTCCAACGATAGAGAAAAATTAATATTTACGCTGAAAATTAAGATAAAAGTGTCTTCAAATTTAGACACAAATCCTCGCGACTCGTCAGAAAAATGAAATGCGAAATACCGTCTTTACTGTTTCACTGGTTCTGACCACTGAGCTGAATCCGCAAGGGTAACGTGTCATACATTGATTAAAACAAAAGCAGCATCATAGTCGGCTGTTAATTGTCACACTACGTTGTTTTTCTGAAACGAAAACAATAGATAACGATCTCTTTGTTTAGACATGTCAATGTATGTGCGTCCAGGGTAAGGTAATGATGGTTGGTTGGGTACAAGCGAGGTTCATAATTAGATAAGGTCTGGTAGACGTGTCATCAAAAAGAGAGGAGGAAAGAGACTTCGATTTGACTTAAATCGTGCACGTCAGACGTTAAAACAAAACTAGGCGGTAAATGTTTGGTGGGATTTAAAACTTTATTACGAATATTTCGGCACACTGTCACTAAGTTACAAAGAGTAACTGACGTGTTTGAATGACATATTCGAACAGAAACAACATTCCACCAATCAAAACAAATCGGTCGATGGTTGTGCTATATAACAACGAACGTGCTCATGTTGCAAATATGACGCAGCAAACGATCAGGGAGCGAAAATAGAAAGTTCTTCCACATTGGTATATACTTCACACCGGAAATCTTAAATTATTTTTGCTCCGTGAAAAAAATCTTTGGTCAGCGGTTCCAAACTTTGCAATATATAGATTAAAAAAAGTATTCCTAGAACGATAACGGGAAATTTTCTTTCGTAATGGAATATACAAATAACGAAAAATAAGATGAAAGAAAGACAAGGCTTCATCTAAGAAATTCACCCAACTTAACACTACTACTACTACTGCTACTACAAGAAATTCACACAAATTAAGACTACTACCACTATTACTACTGTTACAATGTGTAAAGAAGCAAGAGAAATAAGATGAAAGTAAGACTATTGAAAAATGAATAATAATGACAAGGCTTCATCTAAGAAATTCACCCAATTTAGCATTACTACTACTACAAGAAATTCACCCAAATGAAGACTACTTCTACTGCTACTACAAGGTGTAAAGAAGCAAAGAAAATAAGATGGGAGAAAGACTAGTCAAAAATGTATAATAATGACAAGACTTCATCTAAGAAATTCACCCAACTTAACACTACTACTACTACTGCTACCACAAGAAATTCACCCAAATTAACACTACTATTACTGCTACTACAAGGTGTAAAGAAGTAAGTTAAAGAAGATGAAAGAAAGACTAGTCAAAAATGAATAATAATGTCAAGGCTTCATCTAAGAAATTCACCCAACTTAACACTACTACTACTACTAGGTGTAAAGAATAATGAGAAATCAGGTAAAAGAAAGACTATTACAATGCTTGATATAAGTATATTATACTATTATATCTACTGCTATTAATACTACCGACCACTCAGACTGTATTTAGTCACATGTTTATAAAATTTGTCTTTTTAAGGCAAATTAGTTTGTACGTGAATCTAACGAACTCTAATGCCATCGAGTCCATTTCATTCACTTGCGCACAAATACACTTAGGAATGATATGAATCCATCTATTCTCCCCCATCTATGGGTTAAATAGCAGAACAGATTGTGTTCTTTAGCTTCGGTTGTCATCCAGTCTACTGCTAAAAGAAATGGTAATCTACTGCAGGAAAATATCTGCCTCGTTAGTCTCGTATCGAAAGATACATCATTGCCCAATCGTATATCACGTTTGGTACTTACCTAGTTGAATGTATAGGGACGATGGAAGTGCGAAATTTAGGGAAGTAGACTTTGTTAAACCAATCTTCCGAAATCGTTTGAAATTCTGTTCTTCAGCTGGATTCGAACACAGACCGCTTTCATCAACTGGAAGAAATATATAACTATTTCAACGGCTTTGTTTCTCTAGGTGTAAATATTTTGTAAATTCATCTTACCTGAAGGGCATTGTGTGGTCGGCTCTGTTGGAAAAGTGAGTAATGCAGGCTGGTTTCTTGTTTCAAGGGATCTCATGACACGTGTCAAAATGCCGAGCCGTCCATTTCATTTTGACTGAGATAAAGTAAACAGGCGGTCGGTCAAATAACTAAATCAACTGTGAGTCACCCGATCCGTCAGGTCTTATTGCCGTGAGGTGGTCGGGGGTTCACTGATTACGGGTGAGTAACTTATCCACAGCTGTGGCGTAATATTTTTCCAGCCGAGGGATAATTTGTATATTTATTAATCAGATCGCATCACGATCGTGCCACTGTCTACCATAAATCTCTAAAGAACATTGCTATCAAATTTGAAACTGTCTAGAGTACACAAAACTATTAGGTTTTCTCGAGTATCCATGATGCGTGTTTTATGGCTTGCGGGTAAATCTCTTACTGTTGCCGAATCAGTCGGGTTTCGATCCCGGTTTGAAGCAATTGGATCTCTAGCCACACTGATGAGGTGTGATACAGCGAAACCGTCAGTGGATGACAATATATATAAAAATGTATATATATTATTATTACCCGACCCTTTATTTATATATAGGTAAAGTTTTATATATATATATATATATATATATATATATATATATATATATATATATATATATATATATATATATATATATATATATATATATATATATATATATATAAAAGGCAAGTTGGATTAATGGATTACAGAACGATAATATATATATATATAAAGACCTTACCTTTATATATATATATATATATATACACAATTTATATATATATATATATATATATATATAAATTTAATCCTCCTCCTTGGAATTACCCATTCGGTTTAGCAAGTTCTTCATAACTTAAATATATATATATATATATATACACCTTACTTTTATATATAAAGGTATATATATATAAATATATATATATATATACATTTTATATATATATACACCTTTAACTATTATATATATATATATATATATATATATATTACCTATTATATATATATATATAAAGGAGAATATATATTATATAT